AGCCTATTATTTTCTTTTTGAAGTTTCTTAGCCTCCTCATGCATTTCATTAAATGCTTCTTGTAATGCATCATAGTTAACTATATTTGAAGAGGAGCTAGAACTTACACTGGCTGGTTTGTGGATTTTGACTCGCCATTAAGCAAAGATTGGCTTCTTCATTTTCAGAGTTATGCTGTTGATGACGTATCATTATCATCCCAGGCTATGTAGGCTCTTCTTTTTGATTTTTCCTCTTTCTTTTCACTTTGTTTATTTCTTCCTGGACATTCCATTTTAACATGGCCCTGTTTGCCACAACCATAACATTTAAAGTTAGAAGAATCAGTTCTTTTCTCATACCTTTTGTGTCTTTCCTTGTCTTGGATCTTTTTCTTGAGGAATTTGTTGAATTTCCTAACAAGCAGTCCAAGGTTCTCATTATCTTCTTCCGATTCTTGATTTTCTTCAACTTTAAGTGCAATGCTTCTGTTCTTCTTCTCAGAGACTTCTTGCTCATTGAATCTTGTGATTTCCATTTCATGTTCTCTCGAGTTTTCCAAGCAGTGAGGTCTGTTGTCATGGTGGACAGATCTTTTGATTCTGATATTGCAGTGACTTTTGGTTGCCAGGACCTGTCAAGACATTTCAACACTTTAATATTTAATTCTTCCTTATCAAAGGTCTTACCTAGGCCCATTAAATGGTTGATGATGTGCGTGAAGCGTTTCTGCACATCTGCGATGCTTTCACCATTCTGCATTTTAAACAGCTCATACTCTCTTATCAAAGTGTGTTTTCTGGCTCTTTTAACATCTGCAGTCCCTTCATGAGTGACCTCAAGAACATCCCACATCTCCTTGGCAGAATTGCACTGGGACACCCTGAAAAATTCATCCATGTTAAGAGCAGAAGTAATTATATTTTTTGCATTACAGTCACTTTGAACTTTCTTCTTTTCTTCTTCATTCAAGCTTGACCATCCTTTATCTGTAATTAAAGGACCATTAGTAATAACATCCCAAGCATTTCTGTCAATGGATTCAATGAAGATTTTCATCCTTATTTTCCAATATAGGTAATCTGTTCCACTCAACAGTGGAGGTCTATCAATGCACGCTCCCTCAGAAAATGCCATGGATCGAAGTAACTTGATTAACTTTCAAGCACCTCGCTCTGATGCCAATTGTTAGAAAAGTAGTTTTAAATCAAGAGGGGGGGTGAATTGATTTTTGAAAGTTTTTCGCAATACACAGATTATCTAATTCGAAAATTAAGATTACTTATCAATTCACAAATCACAAAGCAATCAAACAGTTTAAGTGCAGCAGCAGAAATTAAAGAGAGAAAGGTTAGGAAAGATTTCACCGGTAATTTTATACTGGTTCACCCAATACCAGGGCTACGTCCAGACTCCAGCCAAATTCCAGCTGGGTTCCACTAGAATAGATGTTTTACAGACTCACCCTCTTACACCTATTCTAACTCTCCACCAAGAACCAAATTCCAGCTCTTGGAAACCTCTGCAACCAAATTCCAGCCGCAGAGAAACCAGTGCCCAAATTCCAGGCACCACACACAAGAACCAAATTCCAGCTCTTGCTTTAACCTTTCCACCAAGAACCAAATTCCAGTTCTTGGCAACTTTCTACAACAGCTGCAGAAAACTTGTACCCAAATTCCAGGTACAACACAATACAAAGTAATGAAAAGCAATTGAAAAGAAGAGACTTAGAAAGCTCAAACCGGATTACTCTAATCCACAGTCAGTTTCTTCTTCAAAGAAATGCAAAGTGCCTCAAGAAAGATTTCAAAAGAAGTTCACAAAAACAGTTGTGTATCTTTCTTGAAAAATGCTAATAGTTGCTTGTATTGATTGCTTGAATTGTGTCAAAGCTGATATGATAAAAGTTCCAAGCAATTACTGTTTATAAAAGAGTATTTTCAAATCTGCTTGCATTAATTAATCTGTTGAAAGTTTGTTTTAATCTGTTGAAATAGCCGTTACAATCTGTTAAAAGTCCTTTCAACCCATTAATGCGTTCTTGATCTTTAACAGAAAATGTTTTAGTTGATACGACCACGTTTTTATCAGTTAAAACGTTTTACAAACATTTTCTAAGTATAAAACAATCGATTGAATCACGTATTAATCGATTGATTTGTTTAAAAACCTCTTTATAAAACTTTCCAAGTTATTTTAGCTGATATAAAGTCGTTTCAATCGATTGAAAATCTGCACATATATTTTCAAGTCATTTTAATCGATTGAAAGTTCGTTTTAATCGATTGAAAAGATTTTCTAAGTTATTCTAATCGATTGAAATGCGTTTTAATCGATTGAAATAAGTCTGATCGGTCATAATTCAATTCTGATCGATCATAACCAACTCTGATCGGTCATAATCTCATTCTGATCGATCATCTTGACATCCAAAGTGATTTTAATCGATTGAAACGTGTTTTAATCGATTAAAATAATTCTAATCGCTCATATTTAAGATCTGATCGATTATATTGCATTCTGACCTATTATATTCGAATTCTAATCGGTCATAAAGAGTTTTAATCGATTAAAAGAAGTTTGTATCGATTAAAATATTGTAAAAACACTTTTTAAAACATTCTAAGTGTTTTAAATTGATTCTTTCAAACCTTTATCAGTTAATAACTTGTTTAAGAAAATTCTTTGCCAAAATGCTTTTGTTTTTGATTTGTTTAAAACTATTTTTGAGGCATTTTGCAAATTGAGTGAAGAAGCTTTATGCAGTGGAAAAGGTAAAGTGGTTTTACCTAAGCTTTCTGTTAAGACACACTAAGTCTTCAGCTCCTTTGTTCTGAGTGACTTGTTTGACTGCTGCAGAGTTGACCCTTGACTTTATCTTTGACTTCATCAAATCAATGAGATCTTTGCTAGGATCACTTTCAATGTCCACCACCTCCTTGACGTCGAAGTTGTGCCCTTCGATCGCCTTCAGCCTCTCCTCTAGGGCGGAGAGTTGTTGTTTGGACACTTCTGGGGTAAGGATGCGTGCAGTCTTAGCATCCTTCCCGTCAAAAAAATATTCTTCCTCCTCTTCCTCATGGGGAGGGATATGTTCAGCTTGGTCTTCGCCCTTGCTCTGACCCTGGCGTATGACCTCCATCAGTTGGGCCACTTGCTCACGGAGGGTATTGACCTCTGTAGTGAGCTTTCGGTTCTGCTCTTCCAAGTTTTCCATTGCTTTTTCTTTTTGTGCACGAGTACGAGTGGGGAGAGGACCAGCCACTTTCTAGAATGCCCGGAAGAATTTTATTAATGCATGTTGAGTGCTTAAAAAAAATGGGTATGTTTATGCATGAGAGATTCTGTTTAAATGATGCTGAATGTGCTATCACTTTTTTATTTTCTCTCTTGGTTTTTCTTTACTCATGGTATGATGTAGTATGAATGTTTTGATTTTGTCAGAAGTTGATTTATTTATTTTCTGGTATTTTTTGTATTTTGATTTTTATTTGATGTTTATTTGCTTATTTTATAGCCTTTTATCTCTTCTGTCGGAACTGCATGGCTACTTAGCTTGCAAAGAACCTGAAACCAGGCTAGCTAAAAGGTAGACTGTCCGAGATAAAATATGGCTTTATGCAAAAGAATATTTTAGCGTCCCTTATCTCTTCTGTCGGAACTGCGTGGCTACTTAGCTTTCAAAGAACCTGAAACCAGGCTAGCTAAAAGGCAGACTGTCCAAGATAAGGGTGTTTATTTGCGAAAATATTTTTGGTTTTTTGTTCTGTTGTTTGTTTATGCTATGCAACAGACAAATGCAACAAACATATGCACACACAATTCGATCATCCGCGAACAGGCGAGATTTCGTTTATATCACGAGGTAGGGTTTTCCTGCAGAAAAGTGCATTGGCGAGGGTTGGTTCTAACTGTTCTCACCAGGCTAAGGCCCCCAAGGTGCCCCCATTATAGGGTCCCCACTCTCCAGCCGTCCGACCATGCTTAGCACTAAGGCCATAGTCAGTCTTGTTGCCAAAAGAGGAAGGTTATCACCTTGAGTGGTGGTTTCCGATCACACTGGTGGGCTCAAGGCCCTCACTACAGCGAACCGTACCTGCCACCCACTCCCTATGGATTTCTCACTTGCCCCGGGTATAAAGGGAACTGTAGTGTGCAAGGGTTTGTGTACAATTTTTATTTCAACCAATTGTGTAATTATAAACAAACAACAGTTATTAAAGCCAAACCGTAAAACATGTTATAAGTTAAGGGCAAAAGCGTTATTTTCTTGGTTTATTTATTTTTAAGCCGGCCCATCACTAAATGGGATCAACTCTCGAGGCTTCCCCAGTGAAGTCGCCATCTGTCGCCGCCGTCAAAAAGAGGTGGTCAGAGCGACGCGATGGTTTCGACCCTCTTGATTTTCGCATTTTTTTTATGGGTGGTTACAACGCCTTTAGGTTGTCCGATAACCGGGCTAACCTAGGGGCGAGGTTTTCGAAAGGTCGTCCTTGGGTTGTCCAATAACCGGGCTAACCCAAGGACTAATTTTTGAAGGGTTCTGTGGAGTCGCCACCGATGTTTTTACCGGAAACATCGGAAAAGGAGTTTAAAAGGCGTTGGTTTTCGAAAAACCAACTTTGATCATTAGAACCAAAGTTGGGTAAGGGAGTTAGTTACGTGCAAAGGAAGTATTAGTTCCTTTACGACGCCCCTTTCGGGTTCCCTATGATAGGCCTGCTATTTTTATTGATAAATAAACTGGAAAATACGCTTTTACCCTTTTATTTGCGGAATTAAAATATTATGACTACATGGCCCTATCTATTGCGTAATTTAAATAAAGCGGTAAAAGTGGAGAGGGAGAATGTAAACCTCCGAAGCACGCTTCTTCTATTAATTCTCTTAAAAAAGAGGGTGCTTTGTGGCAACCCTTCACTCTACAACGCCGGAAACCTCTCGAAACGCTCAGAAATCACTCTAAAGACACTCAGAAGCTCCGAAAATGCGTCGGAGGGATTCTAGAGAGAGAAATCCTAGAGAGAAGGAGGAGAGAATGTTGTGTGGTCTGTGGAAATGAGGGGGGGAGAGCCCCTATTTATAGGTTTTCGCGCCTGACAGTGGCGAGACCGCCGTTCTCGTCTGACAGGGTCAAGACCGCCGTCTCGCCACTTGCCTGAGGCGAGACGGCGGTCTCGTCCCAAAAAGGCGAGAAAACTTATTTTTGTGCCGAAAATCCTTCCTATCCTAGTATGGGGCGTAATAGTCTCTCCTAGTGGCTTGTTAGGCTTCGTCCATCTTCCAATAGGAGGTCTTCTACTCTTTATTTGGAGGCCGGGCAAGATTTGGGGTCTACAATGATGAGTAGAGGAAGTTCCAACACTTTGGATTTGATCAGAGGGAAGCTCAGCAGCAGGAGGCATATCTTCATCAGAATCTTCAATTTCGTCACCTTCATTTAGAACATCATCCTTATGAACATAAATATCATTGACGTGCACCATTTGTAGTTGGATTAATGTGCTGTCTAACATACGATTCAAGTTATTTGTCCTTACAACTTGTTCACCTTCGACATTTACTCCTTTGTATTCAAGGATGCGAGAGACAAGGAGAGCATATGGAATTTTGAAGGTGGGATGACGTTTGGTTTTTAACATAGTCATGGTGACAAGAACACCCCAGTCTAAAGGCTCATTATTCATTATGGCATGAATAATACGATGATCAATTGAAGAACATTGAGCATGATTTGTAGCCCGAGGACATAGAATCTAGAGGTAGCAATCTCCATGCGTTCCTCCTTTTTCAAAGGTCCAGCAAGAAGGAGACGCCCAATCTCCATGGAGGGATTTTGCAGAAAAGAACGGTAAGTTAAGAACCTGTCAAAATCATCTAACTCACCATACACGTTAATAGCATCTTCTCTAATAGGAAAGTGGGCAACGTTTTCCCAAATATCATCATCAAGAATAATTGTTACACCCTTTACTCTAGAGGTAGCAATTTGATCTCTAAATTTGAACTTAGAGTAAAATACCCTAACTAAGTCAAGATAATACGTACCTTGCATTTGGATGAAAGGGAGAACTCCTTGAATTTCAAGAAGGTTTGGAAAGTTGAATCCCCTACTGATGAACTGCTCACCAATAAGGAACTTAGGAGAAATAATAGCACGTTCCTTCCAATAGGACAAAAATTCTTGTCGGTCATCTGCATCAGAGATCCATCCTTCTACAGAATTAGGACGGGGATGAGATGAGGGTGCAGATCTTCTTCTAGTTGGGATTTTTTCACGAGAAGAGGAGGCCATTGAAGGATTAGAAGAGTAACAAGAAGATTTTAAGAAGCTAAGTGTAGATAGAAGAAGACAAGATTGCTAGAATAGAGCAAGATTGATAGAATGAGGCAAGAAAGCTTGAATTCAAGAGATAGGAGTGAGTAGAAGTGAAATGGAGGTCCCTATTTATAGCTAAGCAACTCCAACGGACATATGAAAGTGTATAGGGTGCAAAAGATCCGTTGGCAATGGCTAGGAGGCCAAACTTGCCAGGTTTAATCGATAAATTCAAATTAATCGATTAAACCAGTATCAGAATCATTTAATCAATTAAATTGTGCAGTTAATCGATTAATTCTATGTTTAATCGATTAATGGGTGAATTAATCGATTAATCCAGAGGGGAATGTCATGTTTTGGGTGTTTTTGATGCAAATACTCGATTATAACTCCAATTAATCGATTATTCCATAGAGTACATCAAATTTTTGAGGTTTTTACACATGATAAACTATGAACATCCTACACAATGAATTATAACATCACAATCATCCAAAAACTGTCTAATTAAGCAGAATTTAAGCTATTTCTAATATCCCTAAGTCTCTTCTAAGTTCATAAAATCTATCCTTGGGTAGAGGCTTAGTAAATATATCTGCTAATTGATGCTTTGTATCAGCGTACTCTATTTTACAATTTCCTTTGCTGATATGATCTCTCAAAAAGTGATGTCTAATTTCTATATGCTTAGTCCTAGAGTGCATTACGGGATTCTTAGTAAGATTAATTGCACTCGTATTATCACACATTAAAGGTATGTCATTTAGAAATATACTATAATCTTCTAATTGTTGTTTCATCCACAGAATTTGAGCACAACAACTACCAGCTGCAATATATTCAGCTTCAGTGGTAGATAAAGCTACACATGCCTGTTTCTTAGAATGCCAAGATACTAAGGATGAACCTAACAAATGACATGTCCCACTAGTACTCTTTCTATCAATATTGCATCCACCATAATCAGCATCAGAATATCCTATTAAACTAGTACAAGCATCAGATGGATACCATAAACCAAAACCAGTAGTTCCTTTTAAATATTTTAAAATATGTTTTACTGCAATTAGGTGAGATTCTTTTGGACAAGCCTGAAATCTAGCACACACACAGACATAATGCATAATATCAGGTCTACTTGCAGTTAAGTATAACAGTGAACCTATCATACCTCTATACATAGATTGATTAACTTCCAAACCTGATTCATCCTTGTCCAGATAGCATGAAGTTCCCATGGGTGTGTTAGCTTCCTTTGAGGTGTCCATACCAAACTTTTTGAGTATCTCTTTGCAGTATTTGGTTTGAGAGATGAAAATGCCATCTTTAAGTTGCTTGATTTGTAGTCCAAGGAAGAATGTCAATTCTCCCATCATAGACATTTCAAACTCTCCCTGCATTATCTTAGCAAATTCTACACATAACGAATTATCAGTTGATCCAAAAATAATATCATCAACATATACCTGGACCAATAAGATATGTTCTTTAACTTTCTTTATAAATAGAGTAGAATCTATTTTTCCTCTAGAAAAATCATTTGATGTTAGGAAACTACTTAGCCTCTCATACCAAGACCTAGGAGTTTGTTTCAACCCATATAAAACTTTCTTTAATTTAAAAACATGATTAGGATAACTAAAATCTTCAAATCCAGGGGGTTGCTCCACATAAACTTCTTCTTTAATAAAACCATTCAAAAATGCACTCTTAACATCCATTTGATATAATTTAAATTTCATCAAAGATGCATAAGCAAGAAGTAGGCGTATATCCTCTAACCTGGCAACAGGAGCATAAGTTTCATCATAGTCTATACCTTCCTCCTGACAATAGCCTTTGGCAACAAGTCTGGCTTTATTCTTTGTTATGTTTCCATCTTCATCAAGTTTATTTCTAAATACCCATTTGGTTCCAATAACTTGATGTGATTCTTCCCTTGGGATTAATTCCCAGACTTGATTCCTTTCAAATTGGTTAAGTTCTTCTTGCATAGCTATGCACCATTGTTCATCTTTAAGTGCTTCCTCCACATTTTTGGGTTCTATCTGAGACACAAAAGCTACAGACATACAAAACTTAGTCATGTTTCTAGTTCTTACCCCTTTTGAGATGTCACCTATGATATTGTCCATTGAGAGTTCTCTTGGTGATTGCCATTCTTTTGCTAATTCAGGTGTTTGAGAAGGCTCATTTTCTTCCAAATATAATTCATCAAGAGCCTCTCTTATATATTCATCATCACCTGCAAGTTCTTTATTTGACTCAAGAGGATTTCCCCCAAGGTCTACAATCTCATCAAAAGTAACATGAATAGATTCTTCAATATTCAAAGTTCTTCTATTAAACACCCTGTAAGCCTTACTAGTTAATCAATAACCTAAGAAAATGCCCTCATCAGCTTTAGAGTCAAATTTTCCTAAGTTATCCTTTCCATTATTTAACACAAAACACTTACATCCAAAAATTTTCAAATGAGCAACATTAGACTTTCTACCATTAAACAATTCATAAGGAGTAGATTTAATAATTGACCTAATGAGCATTCTATTCAAAACATAACATGCAGTACTAACCGCATCAGCCCAAAAATATTTAGGAACATTAGATTCATTTAACATAGTTCTAGCAAGTTCCTCTAATGACCTATTTTTCCTTTCAACTACACCATTTTGTTGGGGAGTCCTAGGAGCAGAAAAGTTATGTAATATTCCATTTTCTTCACAATAACTTTCAAACTTTTCATTTTGAAACTCACCACCATGGTCACTTCTTAAGACTTTAATTCTTAATTCTTTCTCATTTTGAATTTGTTTTGCAAATTTTCTAAAGACCTTAAAGGCTTCACTTTTCATAGTTAGGAAAAATGTCCAAGTATACCTAGAGTAATCATCAACAATTACAAGACCATAATAATTTCCACCAAAGCTCTTTATCCTAGAAGGTCCAAATAAATCTAAATGTAATAATTCTAGGGGTTTTGAAGTGGAAATGACATTCTTTGATTTAAATGATGATTTTACTTGTTTACCCTTTTGACATGCATCACACAATCTATCTTTTTCAAATTTTAACCTAGCAAACCAATAACTAAGTCTTTTGAAATCAATTTATTCAAATGATGCATATTTATATGAGCAGCTCTCTTATGCCATAACCAAGGGTTCTCTTCCTTAGCAACTAAGCATGTTATACTAGAATCATGTAAACAATCCAAATCAATCAAATATATGTTGTTATGCCTAATGCCTTTTAATTCTACATTTTTGGAATCTATCAAATGTATGGTGCAAAACTTACTTTCAAAAATTACCTTAAATCCTTTGTCACATAGTTGACTTATGCTAAGGAGATTATGCTTTAGTCCATCAACAAGAAGCACATCCTTAATCTCCAAAGTGTTTGCACCTCCTATGTTTCCAATTCCAAGAATCTTCCCTTTGTTGTTGTCCCCATAAGTTACATATCCTTGTTCCTTAGCTTTGAAACTCACAAATTTTGATTTATCACCAGTCATATGCTTTGAACATCCACTATCAAGATACCACATAGACTTTTTAGATTTGGAAGTTTCCTACAAAACAAGAACATAGTAAGCTTAGGTCCCCATAACTTTTGGGTCCTTGGGGTTAGAGACAAATAAATTATTTTACAATAGGAACCCAAATATATTTACCTTTAGGAACACCAAAATGTTTAATTTTACATTTATTTGAAGTATGACCATGTTTCATACAATAAAAGCATGCATTTGATGTAACTTTAGAATATGATGAATTTTTAACCATAGATGTTCTAGTCCCTTTTTCTACCCATACTCTTTTATTTTTCCTTTTAGACTTTTTCAAAGGAACTTGTTGATTTACACTATTTTGAGCAAACACCATTTTATGCTTCTTAAGATCATCTATTTCCTTTTCGACTTTGTCTAGCAAATGGTTAAGAATATCTATGTCATATTCATGCTCTTTACAATTTGCACATGCCATGTTCTTATCATTATCCTCATCTAAACATACAATTTTCGTATTTAGTAACTCCTTTTCTTCTAAACATGCAATTTTCGTTTTTAAGGACTCAATTTCCTTTTCGGATCTACTTAGATTCTTCTTTACAACTTTATATTCATTTTTCAAATTCTTAAAGGCACTAAATAGTTCATTGTAAGCATTTTGCAGTTCATCATGGTCATTATCATCATCACTAGAAGATGAGTCGGAATCACTTACCTCAAAAAAATCCGAAGATATGTTGTCATTTGCCATTAAGCAAATATTTGCTTCTACTTCCGAGTCACTTGATTCTGAACTTGAATCACTATTGTCCCAAGCAATATAAGCTTTCTTCTTAAAGACCTTTTTTCCT